CTGTCCTTCTGAGAAACTTAATCACGGTTTAATGGGGGCTTGCTAAACCATTTGACACTGTGTGGCAGTATTGGAAAGTGTCAATGATCTGACGGATGCCTGCGTGTATAATAGTATAGTATACTATTATTCATCCAGCCATTACAATCCACGTTCCCATACATAAAGTACCTACTGATGACGAAATAAAGAAAGCTATTTAAAAAAAAAAAAGGTACAATAAAGTATCTGTTGAGAGATATGATGTCAGATATCTGAAAATTTGAAAAATGCTTACTCCCTGAAGTACCTCTATATTATGAAAGGTGTCTGGAATCAGAAATATAAGCCAGAAAAGAGGGTCTGTCAGGCATTAATGCATTATGGATATAAAATGGTAGACCTCAAGACCTTCACACATACAGAGGTATCTCAATTGGATCCATCATGGTGGAAATATTAATAAATATTATATTAACTAGGCTCTCATCATTTTATGAAAGTCAATTCCCCACGCCCAGTTTGGTTTTTGTTCTGGAAATGGATGCATCAACGGGATATATGTCATCAATCCACTTCAAGGGTTCAGTTAAGAATTCCTTTTATGTTACCCTGATTGACATACACATGATGAAGGCCAGAGGAAACACCGGCAAAAATCATGTTTAAATACTTCCATTGACTTTCGATTACGATACGCCACTCGCTTTGCCCGATAATCTGCTCATTATTACACAGTGGCTGTTTTTCGTCATATCTGATTTGTACAATTCTCGCCGCGATGAAGTCGTTTGATCTTTAGTTGGTGCTGATTATTATAAAGCAGATATTGCCTAAATTACCAAATTGAATTTAATGCAAGATAAAGTTGCGCCAATATCAAGGTTCTGAAGGGTTCCTGCACACACAATTACGACAATAGTAATAAATTATTGGTGCAAAGTTTTTAAAAAAATCAGATTATGCATGTTTCAGTGATTTTTTTCTGTTCAACCAAAATAACCACTAGCAATATAAAATCTCCTAAAATCAGTTCGACGCAATTCTCTCTGTATCTCTCTCTCTCTCTCTCGCTCTCTCTCTCTCTCTCTCTCTATATATATATATATATATATATATATATATATATATGAAGACAAAAGTAAAACTTATCTTAGCCGATGTGTGTGTGTGTGTGTATTACAAACAATAGCAAATTATATGATATATATTGATGATCATCATTTCACCTTATAAATTAAAATTAATTTATAAGGATTTTCAAACCAATCAGGTTAACAAGATAAATCAATCAATCTTCATTCCTATTGTTTGTAATATATATATATATATATATACCCTGTTTGAATAAAACTTTGAGCACTCTCTGTGAATCAGTTTTAATATTTTATATTATATTAATAGGAATTACTTGAATTACATATATATATATATATATCAGTAAACATTTTGAGAAAAAAGAATAGTAAAAAACCTTTTCAGCAACGAGCATTATGAGTTTCGGTCGACACGATCCACTGCCGACGTCGTAACTACCATCGCACACAGATTCAGTGTGGCTCTTGAAGACAAAGACACCACGAGGAGCAGAGCACTAGATATTTGCAATGTCTTCGACAAGTTGTGACATAAAACCTTACTACACAAGCACTCCAGTTATGTAATCACTGCAAAGGTCTTTCGATCATAAAATCCTTCCTAACAGGTAGGTCCATGAAGGAAGTTAATAATGGCCAGTGCTCCGGAGTTCTATCGGTCAACTTTTGAAAAGTCCACATTGGACAAAACGCGTCAGTAATAACTACAGTTTTCCTATTGTCATTTATATTTATAAATATTGTCTTTTCTTCAGGTTAACTCTGAGAAATTTTCATATATATATATATATATATATATATATATATATATATATATATATATATATATATATATATATATAAAAATATATAGAAAATAGGAAGGAACTGGTTAGGTAAATAATCCAAAGTCCCTTAGTATTTTAGTTATTATTTTTTAAAATAGTGTTCGATACAAAAAGTAGAGCATAAATATAACTATTTATTAAAAATATGATTCCAAAACAGGGACATAAGAAGTCTCATGTTTCAAAACAAGAGCCGAAAAAACAAAAAACAAAACACACACACACACACACACACACACACACACACACACACACACATATATATATATATATATATATATATATATATATATTAGACTCTGCCATCGATATCGACGTATCAAGTCAAACAGATCAGTTCTTTGAACCAACTGCCAGACTAACTACCCTTACATATCATTTGATTATAGTGGTGAAGGTCTTGTGAAGAACCAACCAGACCAACCACACTTTTTGAATTGCCGAATAAAAAGCAAAAGCACTGGTGCACACTATGCAACAAGGTCCACAAACGAACCTCCGCAACATTTGAATTCAGGGTTGTCCGCCTAGACCATTCGAGCCAGTCTGTCCTGCTATATATATATATATATATATATATATATATATATATATATATATATATATATATATATGTTTGTGTGCGTATATATTTATATATATATATATATATATATATATATCATAAAGTCTCCCGTGGATTTCGACGTATGAGGTTCTGACAATTCAACCAATTCATTCAGTTAT